GCGGTCTTAAGTGAACACCGGAAGTTACGCGTTCGGTTGCGTCCGTTGTGCGCCTGTGTGTGTGCGGTGTCTTGCACCCCGCCGCACCGCCAAGGAGGCCCACCGCGGCCGCCGCGGCCACGCGCGCTGCGGCGGGGCGGGGCGGGGCGGGGCGGGGCGGGGCAAAGAGCAGGTTGGCAGAGGCAGAGAGGAGGCCGCCGGCGAGCACTCGCGGGGCTGGAGGAGCAGCGGTAAATAACGGTGAGCAGCACGAGGAATCCATTCGCCTAGACATCCCCCCCCCCCCCCGCCCGGGCCGCAGCCGCAGGAGCAGCAGCAGCGACAGGCTTATTTGCACGGGAGCAGCTCAGTATTCGCAGACGCGCACACGCACACACACACACGCACATGCCCGCGTGCGCGCACACACTCACTGTGATTATGCTGACTACTGCCCCGTCCTCGACCTCGCGGGCAAGCACTGCCCATTATGAGAAAATGCAATTATTCGTAAGAATAAAGTGTACACATAATGTGCGCGCGGTCGTCGTCGGTCTGGTTCCGGGTTGCTCCTCCTTTGCTGTGTGTGTCCCGTGTGCCTCGTGTGCTCCGGCTGCCCTTCCTCCTCCTCCGGCACACCGGTCCTCCTCTTGCCCTCTGCCTCTCGAGCCCTGCTGCTGCTGCCTCCTCCGGCCGGTCCTATATACCTCGCCCAGCCCTCGGCCCGCCCGGCCCAGTCCCGGTCCCGTCACCTTTCTCTCCTCCCAACACTGCTATCCTACCTTCGCGACGCGCTTGCCAAAAGGTCAGCGCCGCCAGAGACCGCGCCGCCGCCAGGACCCCAACAAACAACCTGCCGTGTCGTGTGTGTCGTGCCGCGCCCCAACCGGACGTAAAAACATCATTGCGCTCGACGCCAACGACGGGACGGGAACGGCAAGCAAGGGGTATACCTCACTTTTAATAGGAAAAACAGAGTGTATACAACGCACTATTCAAATCAGGATAAAAAAATAGAAACAGTCAGAAACAACGATCCAGAAAAAAAATAAGAAAATACAATGAGACAAAAATCAGAAAAAAGCAAACAAACCAAGAAAAATCAGGAAAACGGACAAATCTGTCTACACGTTTGAACTCATAGTGAAGTACCCCTCGACGACAGGTCCCTCAAGGCGGGCCGCCTACCGTTCTATCCTGCGCTGCAGGGGATGTCGAGGACCCCGATGCCGTTGCACAGTATGCGGCGTGGTGGTCGCGAGAGAGCGCATGGAGTGAGTGACCGAGTGTCATTGCAAACGCACGGGGGGAGAGTTTTCGCACCCGCAGCTTTAAGACTATTTCTGATCAACATAAAGATTGCGCGAAAAAAAATAATAGGAACAATATTATTAAAGCGCCTTAATAAGATACTAGAGTAACAGCGCAGAGAGCGGCGGCGGCGCCGGCGCCCCGTGCAGCATTTCGCGCATTGTTCCGTGCCTTTTCTTTCCTCTTCGCCATAATTCCACGCGGCTGGTACAACTCCCCCCGGCTGCTCCCCGCCGTTTGGAAGTGATTGCGTGAGGTTATGGCTGCGGCCGCACGTAGGGGCGCGTGGCCGGG